CTATCTATCTATCTATCTATCTATCTATCTATCTATCTATCTATCTAATATAAAAAAGTGAAATACCATTCACGTCATCACAAAATTTCCAGAACTGTAAAGCCTACAAACTTGAAATTTGGCACATATGTTCCTGTTGGCTTCTGGGTGCTCAGGATTTTTCGAAATGACCATCAGAGCATTAGTATTTCGTATATTATTATTAACATGCTCTGATGCTAAGGCGTTCTACTCCCCCTCCCCACCTGCAAAACACAAGCAGAGGAGAGGAGTTTCAGTTATAGTTTCACAGCAGCAAGCAGCTTTACTACAGAACAGTTGAGCTAAGCCATGCCCAGGCTTCTTGCTGTCTCCTTGCTCACAGAGCAAATACTGTTTCAGTTTCCAAAGAGCCCTCAACTCTCTCACACACCGACAGGACGCTAGCCAGATGAATACCGATAGATGCTGGTAGACAGATGCAGAATTTTTTTCTCCTTATTTTCCGATCACATAGTTTCATAGCGAAGCACAGGTATCCAGTTAGTTTACCATAAAACTAAGGAAATAATTTAGAATTCAGTGCTCCTTTCTCCAAATGGGAAAATCCTGCATATTTTTCTCCTTCCAGTATAAACCTCGTATTGCTGTAGATATTCTGTGGTCTCCAAATTTGGAGCTCTGAAAAAACAGGTAGCCTTAGATATCTGCAACATCTTTCTTCTTCCTTTTTGTCTAAGCTACACATTCTAGTTTGGGGTCTTACTTTCAGGTGCTGTTGGCTTGTATAACATTGGATTGAGCTGCTGCATCAACTCATTGCTTCAAAGCTTCTTAATGAACAGATACTTCACTTCAATACTCCGGAGGTGAGTCATGCTCAGAGAGTATAATTATGTGTGCAGACAGTTGATAATTGGAAACGCCTGTTCTTTCTTATCTCTTCTCTACCCATTTTTTCCACTGGGCAAGCCATTTCTTTCAAGCCAGCTTCCCCATTTGCAGAATGGAAAATGAACATTCCTTTCTAGGATTGTTGCAAAACCATAGAATATTTTGAACATTTCCTATTTCACTTATGGCTAATATTATGATTTATTGAAACTATAAAGGGGGTGTGGCTCCTTCAAACCAGGTGTGCAACTGCAACACATTATTATTTAATAAAATACATATTGTTTACACAAATAATTATATTTATAAAAAAAAGTATAAAGTTTTAAAAGTGTATATTTAAGCTTTAAAGCCGTGGCCTTCCCTCTCTTCTTTACGGTATTGGCAAAACTTCGATATCTGTACAGTATAGGAAATATGTTAGGTTTTTATTCCTTTCTAAGGACCTGGCCTTCTAGTATGAGGTCAGTTTTTTCCTGACTGAAGGACAATCATAGTTTTGATTCTTTTCACTGCAGGATCAATGTACCGCATGGAACAGCAGAACGGAATGCCAGTGTCCCTTATCAAATGCTTCTGCTGTTGGAAAGTATGCAGCGGGCCAAGGGGAAGTCCGTGCGCCCTTTCGATCTTTTCTACTGCCTTTCTCATCATGGTGTGAGATGTAAGGAATATATGGAGCCTCTTAGATACCATTTGGATGGCGTAACCTTTAGAGGGATTGGAAAGCAAATAGTGTTAGCTGGGAAAGGCAAAATTCTGTAAATGGGTTTACGGGGATTATTAGGAATCCAGAATGGGTTAAAAATATCTTGGAAGTTGGAAGAATATAGTCATGGAAGTAGATTAGATTTTTAGAATTTGGAAAACGAATGTAGAATCCCCTAGGCTAAATTGTGGCTTATTATTTCTTTTCTTCTAGTGTTTGTTGTTCACGATGCTTCGGAAGTCTATTACAAAATCTGGAACCTACTTAAAGACCAAATTGCAAACACAGACCTGGTAAAATCCTACTTTTATAAAGCAGAAAAAAAAACTTTTATCATTGTGGTTTTATACAGGCACAATGAATTAATTAATTGTAATCCCCTTTAAGTAAAGGCCAGTTGCTAGACTTCACACTTTGAGTTTTGCCAACCTGATGCCAATAAAAATTGTTGGACAGAGGGTTGTTGTGACAAAGGACCTGAGACCAAATCAGATGGTTCCATATCTTTCTTCTAAGAAGGAACCATAATTTGCTAGAGGCCCTGCCAAAGATCTAATATAAATCATGTTGATTTATTTACTGATACATTCACTTTACAATACTTTTATATGCACAGCTCACATGAATGTGGGTGGTTTATGGTGAGGGCCTCAGTGGTGCAGTGGTTAGAGTGCAATATTGCAGGCTACTTCTGCTGACTGCCGGCTGACTGCAATTTGGTAGATTGAATCTCACCAGGCTCAAGGTTGACTCAGACTTCCATCCTTCCGAGGTGGGTAAAATGAGGACCCGATTTTTGGGGAAATATGCTGACTCTGTAAACCACTTAGAGAGAGCTGTTAAGCACTATAAAGTGGTATATCAGTCTTAGTGCTATTGCTATAAGATTAAAAATGCAGAACTCCATAATTCCAGGTTGAAACCCACAATAAATATAAAAAGCAATAATGTGGCGGGCCATCCATAAAATTCATCAAAAATAATAATTTAAAAAATCATCCAGCAGGATGATTATAAAAATATCAATTTTGCCTTATGGTAAATACATAGCTAGGAAGAAGAATAGGGATCACTTTGGACAGAAAATGGTTTCTCTCCATATCTATTTGCTGTGGGGGCTGTCTGAGCATCCAGTGGTATTAGTGTAATGTAGTTTGGCTCTTGAGTTTTAAATGGAAGCTTGAATGGGGAAAACAGCATTATGGGAAATGTAGTCCTGCTTTGTTTACGGATTCCTAGAAGAATAAACATGACTCTTTCCCGACTTTTAACAGAGAGTAGGATGAGGAAAAACAACTATAATTAACATGATCATAGTTATTTTTTTCCTACTGCTCTCTGTTCAATGTAGTGGTGATCTCTGTTGCATATTACTGTATTTACTTTGGCCAAGTTTTTTGGTGTGGGAAGGAATCATGGGAACTACGTAATTCAACTGGACATCAATAAATTGGACATGGTAGAGGATTGTATTAGATAAGGGGTCCCCAACTTCTGGGCTGGAGCCCCCTATTGTGCTGTGATCCATTCGGAACTGGGCTGCACAAGCATTGAGGATGTGTGCACAGCTCCATTTTTGCAAGCAGCAGGTGTTCGTGCCTGCCACTTGTGCGTTCACACATGCTTGAGCAGTCACCTGCCACTGACACAGAACCATCCCTTCTCTTTCCCCACCACCCCAGGCTGCCAAGCCCAAAAAGGTTAGCGACTGTTGCACTAGATGGTCTCACAGTGGTAGGAATCAGATAGAATCTATCTGTCAAACTGTATAGTACTGTATCGGTATTGACAAATACAGTCCTTGATTTATAGCCATCTGTTTAACAACTGTTCAAAGTTACAATGGCACTGAAAAAAGTGATTTATGACCGGTCATCACACTTATGACCATTGCAACATTCCCCCCCCGGTCATGTGATAAAAAATTGGGTGCTTAGCAATTGGCTAGTATTTATGATGGTATCCAGGGCCACGTGATTGCCATTTGTGACCTTTCCAGCTAGCTTCCCTGCCAGATTCACTTATCCTGGCAAAAAAGGTTGTAAAGTTGAACACAATTCACTTAACCACCACCTTGCTTAGCAACAGACATTCTAGTTCCAGTTGTAACCATAAGGCAAGCATTACCTGTATAGCCTGCTCTAAGCAATTGCCCTGTAGATTAATCTAAACCTTCTGCATACGTGGCAGAAGAGATTTTTTGGATCTGCAGTTCCAGCATGTGTTGGTATCAAATTAGGAAAGACTGGTACAAAATCATGTTTCTCTGGAAGCAATGAAACTACTACTACAACTAATAATAATAATGATAATAATAATAGAATACAGATGGATCATCATTTGGAACACAATACGCCAGATATCACAGTTGTCAAAAACCAAAATGTATAATTTATTGATATCACTGTACTAAAAGATGCCAGAGTCGAAGAAAAAGAACTGGAAAAAATCATGAAAGATTATGATCTGACCATTGAAACTAAGTGATTACGGATGAAACATGTACAGTGATACCCATTGTCATCAGTGCACTTGGTACCATGCCCAAGAATTTTGCAAAATACATCAAGAAGTTGCATTTTCCTGCTGTAGCACCAGCGGAGCGGCAACAGACTGTGCTACTCGGAACAACGTATATTTTAAGAAGATACATGGCTGATATTGGGTGCTGGCAGCAGCCTGTATCAACCATCAGAGAGAGCCAGTCAATGATATTTGTGATACATTTTAAATGTCCAGTTGACTGAGTTTCATGTTTAATGAATAAAATCGGATAATGATAATAATAGTAGTAGTAATATGATGATGATGTTTTCTTTTTGGTTCTTTTCATCTATTGAAGGTTGAAAGATTGACTGATCTATATATCATCCGTTTGCAAGAGCTCCTGGTGTGCCAGAAATGTTCCCATGAAATAAAGATAGAAAGTAAACAGCTAATGCTTCATCTTCCAATGTTTGATTTTGATTCTCATCTGATTATTAACTTAGTAAGTTCATTTGGGCATTTTTAAAGGACAGGGAAGTGCATCCATTACACACTATGATTGGACAGGGCTGCATTCATGCTAATTTTAGAGAACTGAGCATCTTGGGATTATTTATTTGCTTGCTTAACCTTACAGGTCATGATTTTAATTATAAGTTATCCAGAGTCAGGGGTGGGCTGCTGGGGGTTCGGGAGAGTCACTAGCTAAGATTCTGTGCAGTTTGGAGAACCCCAAATCCCACTCCTGGCTGGCCTCGTCTACCCCGCCCCTCCCAGGAGTCCCCATGTGGCCCATTTTGGATGCAGGTAAGTGCAGGGCATGCGTGGAGGCTCAGGGAGGGTGAAAAACGGGCCTCCTGGAAGTTTGGGAAGGCTGGAAATGGGCCTGTTTCCAGCTGCCAGAGAGCCTTCGGAGCCCAGGGAGGGCAAAAACGTCCACCCTGCCATGGTGCAGGAGGCTGACTAGGCCATGCCCACCATGGCCACGCCCACCCAGCAACTGGGCAAAGAATCCTTTGCTAAAATTTTTGAAGTCCACCCCTGCCCAGAGTCACTTTGCAGAGTGAGATGGATGACATATAAATGCAATAAACAAATAAATAACGGCTGAAGGGGAGAAGTTGATATAGTTGATTTATTTATTAAATTTGTATTCCGTCTATCTCACTATCCAAAGTGACTGGACAGCTTAACAATACAACAAAAATCATAAAAACAGAAAACATTAAAATTAACAGAAATTAGCTAAAGCGAAGAACCAAGCACACGAGCAGTACGGTGGTGGGATATTTTTCTGTAACACCACCAATCACATCCAGTGTCAAATAAAGTTTTGAGGCCCTTCCTGAAGACCAAGAGGATGGAGGTGGATCTCACCTCTGGCAGCAAGATATTTCAAATGGCAGGGGCCACAGCAGAAAAGACCCTTCTCTTAGAGCCTGCCAGCCAAAATTCCTTGACTGATGAGGTCTGCAGCATGTTCCTTGATTGCTTTAAGTAGGTGGTAAAAGTGCATTTTCAGTGGTGTTACTCTTAACATTGCTACTGGTAGTTGGAATGATACAACCTAGAGCCCAGTACATTTGGAAAATTGCAGGTTGGGAAACAGTAACTTTATGGCCTCAATTTAAATAGAAAGAATTAAATATGGAATATATTGAGGGAACTAATCTCTGTTCTTGCTTTCTACAATCTATTACTTCTCTTTTTGTAGGAAAATTCACTACACTGCTTTTTCAGACCAGAGCAATTAACTAAAGAAAATATGTGCCACTGTGGAAGGTGTAACAAGAAAACATCACATATGCGGGTAAGCTGTTTTGGGTGGCAGGATAGGTGAGATCGTTTTGGGAATTTCATGGTCTTTATATTTTGGGATTAAATTAAATTAATCCCAAAATGTAAAGATCATGAAATTCCCAAAACAGCTGATAGAGAGCCATAGGAGAGGGCCCAAAGAGCCGCATATAGCTCTGGAGCCACAGGTTGCTGATACCCAGCCTAAGGGAGTGGGTATTGTATTTCTTTATGGCTGGAAAAAAATCCACAGGCAGTTCCAAGGCTTTTGTCAAATACATCTTTTGTCAAACACTCTAGTATGTCTTGCTTAATGTTAGAGTCAGATTTTAGATGATCCTGGTTGATAATTTTTTGAAATCGAAGTTTAATTGCATCACAATTAAATATAATTAAATTATATTTAATTATGAGAAGTTCCATCTTTGTACGGTAGTTTCTTTATTTGTTTTGCTGGTCCTTGAACCCCAGTTATGGTTCTTAAAGCCCTCTTCAGACATAGTTGGCCAAAATTGGTGTGTTTCCAATCAGGAAGAAGACAGCCTTTCCCCCATGGATTTCCCAATGTCTACCAAGACTGCCAATTCAGACAGAATATTTTTTGTTGATTTTGCAGAGGATAAAAATAAGTTATTTGCCACGCATGTTGACACTGCATCTCATTCGCTTCCGTTCCAAAGATGGCAGCAGAACCAGGAAAATCACACATAGCTTGGCTTTCCCACCAGAGCTTGATTTCAGCCAGATCTTGACCCTGGAACAGTATCAACCAGATCCTAAAAAGAAGGTAGGATATTTGCATGCATTCCATCTAGCATTAAGGCTAGTACTGCAGGCTACTTCTGCTGCCTGCTGGCTGCCTGCAATTTGGCAGTTCCAATCTCACTAGGCTCAAAGTTGACTCAGCCTTCCATCCTTATGAAATTGGTAAAATGAGGACCCAGATTGTTGGGGGCAATAGGCTGACTCTGTAAACCTTTTAGAGAGGGGCTGTAAAAAGCACTGTGCTATTGCTATTGATAGTGTTATTTAGGGTGAGCAATTATACTCTGAGGGATAAAGCCAATCCTTGAACCCCAGTCATAACCTTTAAAACTCTCTCCAGACACAGTTGCCCAAAATTGTTGTTTCAGACCAGGAACCCCAGCAGCATGCTGGCGCCTCACCCCCTTGCTCCAACATTATCAGAATGAAAGGAGAACTATCCTTTTACTGTTCTGCTCTTTATAATTACTAGCTGAATTTAAGACAGACAGATTTACTCCACAAAGGCATCCGTTCAAAGTCTCTTTATTGGTTCATCAGGCATCCTCAAATATAATTCACAGTTACGTCGAGATTCATCTCAATGTCCTCTGCATAGCTGACTTTCTGGTGTAAAAGGATGTTGCTCTTTTCATCCCATAGTAGTGGAGCAAAGGTGAGAAACGCCAGCATGATGCTGGGGTTCGAGCAAGAGTAAGGGAACCTCCCACAACCCAATCAAGAATCAATGCGGTGACCAATCAGGATTACAGATGTGGCCACATGATATGGACTCCATTTACCATGATGCATTCCCTTAAGGGGACAGCTCCGAATTCCTAACTAACTATCCCAATTCCCTATTAACTATAACTGGCTGGACAGGACAGGAAGACACAGCCTTTTCTCCATGAATTTTCCAGTGTCTTATCAAGGATGTCCATTGAGACAGAGCTTTATGATATTCTCTAATACAGAGGTCCCCAACCCCTGGCCTATGGACCAGCAACTATCCACGGCATGCCAGCAATTGGTCCAGGCAAATGAGAAACCCCATCCACAGGATGTAAGCAGCACACGAAACCATGCCTCCTCTGGTCCATGGAAAAACCTCTCTCCACAGAAGCCGTCCCTGTTGGCCCAAAGATTGAGGGCCGCTGCTCTAATCTGTTCAGCTGGAGACATCTTCGTCCTTATATCCTGGATGTTTTCCTTTAGCCCAGTTCTAGAAAAGTATACATGAAGGTACCTCCCGCCCTGCTCAAAACCCTGAAATGCAGTTCTTAACAAGTCCAGTGTCAGTGCAAAGCAGAATGTAATTCTGCAGTCTTGCATGTTGGGAAGGCTTGCCTGAGCACTGTTTACAGGGAATTAGATTTTTCTCTCTTTTTTTCTGAAAGAGAAATATTGGGAAAAGATAAAATGAGAAGGTAACACTCTCACATTTCAAATAAAATAACACAATCAGCCTAATTAAATTGATTGGCGATTTCCTCCTTGAGTAAGCCTTAAATCTCAGGTCCCGTTTTCTCTAAAAATTAGACTGGCCCTATCTGTGATAACCGCCTGTAAATTTTTGAAGATCACTGTTCCAGGGGATCTTGAGGAATGTCTATTTCTGATTTTTACTTAAATCTTTCTTATTTATTTCCAAATCCTGTATTACTGGTTGTTCTTGTATTATTTTTATTTACTGTGGACATTTTATATTAAGTACATAAGCTACATTGAGTCTTGAAGATTCAGCAGCATACAAATTAGATAGACGGATTATAATAAAAACATTACATCTTTTTTAAAAAATCTAATACTTTTGTAGGATATAAAGGGTAAGTGAAGATACATATTAGGTGAAATCGAGAAGCTGATCAGCTTTACCCAATTATGAAGATGTTCTTGGTTGAGGTCTGCATCTAGTCAGCAAATCTGAAATTATTGAGAGACTAAACCCACTTCCTTAAAGACTTTGTGGAATTATAAAGTTAGTTTGATTTTCATCTTTCGCCTTTGTATAAATCGTTATATGAGTCTGGCTTCTCGGAGACAGAAACTGGTTTCCATTTATTCAGAATGCTTAATATGAGGTGAGTTTACAAAATGCTTTAGGGGTCCTTATGCCAGTTCTTTTCCCTTGGAGAAAGAAATGATATCCAAGAAGCCAGCCCAAGGCTGAAGGAGAGGGGCCAAGCCAGCCCCATCTTCAAATGGCTAATAGACATCAGTCTGGGATAATCCTATGTGAATCCTCTTGACTGCTCCCATAATAGAAGAGTTGGCAAAATGCATTAGATGCTATTTACCGTGAAACTGCCATAGTTTATTTGATAAATACTACTTTAAAGCCAGAAAAGATCAGGATGAGGTGAAGGAAACATCACGGGGACCAAGTAGGGCATATTTGTAGCATAGTTAGATGCAGATGGAGGAAGTGCCTTTTTCCCCTCTTAACTTGCTCTGCCAAGCAACTTACCTGAAAACTCCCAATCATCTGACCTACTTCCTGCATCAGGATCCTTCCCGTCTCTCTTCCTTAAAATAAACAATTGCCTTGTTGGTAAAATGCCTTAATTGCTCTATGGAAAGCAAGCCTGTAACAATAGTACTTGTTAGGGGAAAGAGTCGAAACAAAGGAGTTCATGTTGTATGAGCCACAGTGGCGCAGTCGTTAGAGTGCAGTACTGCGGGCTGCTTCTGCTGACTGCCTGCAATTTGGCAGTTCAGATCTCTCCAGGCCCAAGGTTGACTCAGCCTTCCATCCTTCCAAACCCAAACTGTTGGGGGGGCAATATGCTGACTTTGTAAACCGCTTAGAGAGGGCACTGTAAAGCACTGTAAAGTGGTATATAAGTGCTATTGCTATTGCTCTTTGTCCTTTGACACAGTGGGTAGCCCAGGAGCGGTGTGACAATAATAGTCATTCCCTGCTAGAAGAAGGAAGTGTTTCATCTGCTTTGTTCTTCAAAGTATTGCTCTGTACTTCTTTCCAGAATGATGGGTTGTATGATCTCTTTGCGGTGATTGCCCACTCGGGACCAGCTGACTTTGGTCATTATTGTGCCTATATCTGGAGTCTCACCGAAAGCAAGTGGTATTGCTTCAACGATTCCAGTGTTTGTGAGGTGAGGAAGCCAGGCAGTACTGGAGATGGTCTTACACAATCATGATCACTTCCAATGTTGCAAGATGCATTTTGACTTGAATATGGGGCTTCTGGCAGGGATGTGGGGAAGAGTGGAAGATTAAAAAAGAGTTATTAAACAGGCTAGCAGAGAGGTTCTCAACCTTCTCTTCACCTCAGACCCACTTCAAATACCTTTTGTGGCCTCGGACCACCAAGACTTAAGATTTAAAGCATTAGATTGTACCAAGTATTTGTGGACCCCCTGTGAAAACACACACACATACCCACACACACCGGGATCTGTGGATCACAGGTTGAGAACCCCTGGGCTAAGAAGTTCAGAATCAAATTCAGGGGCAAGAAACATTGATTGTCAAAATGGTGTTGGGGTCTTTTAACTCCCAGTAACGACATCCGGTACCCAAGGGCATGATGGTGAACCTATGGCAAGTGTGCCGGAAGTGGCATGCAGAGCCATTTCTGCCAGCATGTGAGCCATCGCCCAGAACTGATCCACTGTGCATGTATGTGTGCACACCTCCCACCAGCCAGCTGATTTTCAGATATCTGCCGTGCATGCATAGGGGAGATGTGTGCACATATGCAGGGGAGGTGGAGTGCGCGTGGGGGGTTGCACACACATGCCCAGAGGGTGCAGTACAGGGGGGTCATGCATGCATGTGCAGGGGAGGGGGGTGCACGCATTGCATTATGGGTGCGGGCGCATATGCGCGACCATGCATTTTCAGCAGGTGACAATAAAAAGGTTAGCCATTACTGACCTAAGGGGTCATGGGAATGACAGTCCAGTATCCTGTGAAAGGCCACTGACTCCATTTCTGAAACCGATTAGTTTAAAGGGCACATCTACAAATATTGATTGGGGTTTACGCAACAAATTAAGCCATAGTTTAATCAAGCTTAATGGAACAAGCAGGATATTCTGTTTCTAAACTACAAGCCACATTTCAGTTTGCAGCATCTATATCTGTTCTAAGCTGAAGCCAAGGAAACTGTGACTTAAAATCTAAGAATGGTCATTAAAAGGGATTTTAATGAGATACTTGTGGTACAAAAGCATAAATCTTATCAGTGAATACATGTGCTGTAATGATGAGATATGGCAACTACCATTGATCCATTTTTCACAGAAGGTAACTTGTTGCATTAAGTTGGCTTGTGCCTTAATTTTGCAGTATATCCAGTCTTTTGTGGCAGGAAATTAGAATCTGAAAGGTTTTTTTTCCCCTGGTTGGTATTATGTCTGACCTACCTATCTGCAGAGCTTCAAGGCAGGAGGAATTAAAGGAGGAATGAAAATGAAACAAATTGGGCAAGATTTTCCAGATTATTTTGCTCCTCTACAGCAGTGATGGGCAATTAATTTTTCTAAGGGGCCACATGACGAACTGGAACTGTTGTGCTGGGAGGGCAGGGAACCAATAGGGCTGCGAAGGTGTATAGGCATGCACACATACACATATGTAAATTGAAAAAAAAAAAGTGGGGTGCCCTTCAAAATAAAAACAGTCCACATGGGATGCAGAGGGGACAGCCAAAAGACTGGATGTAGCCCTGGGGTAGTAAAATGCCAGGTTTGATCTATGCTATGAACTAATTTACTTCTATGTTGTTCGACAAGCAAAAATTAAAATAAGCCATGACTGTGCGTTCAGCATGTTTTGAAAAATAACCTTGAATGTGGACGCTTGTGCTTTATATTCTGCAGGTATCCTGGGATGATATCAAATGTACTTATGGAAGACAGTCTCTCTGTTGGTAAGGAAGAATGCCAGGTTTTATTCTGATCCATCTGGAATAGTAGTTCAGAGGGAGGAGAAGGGGGAAACTACAGTATACGGCTGTGTCATGCCGACAGGGAGTGGCTACAGAGTGTGGCTCTGGAGGCTGTGGAGGAGGCTGGGCAGTCAGAGGAGGACCCAGGCCCATCCCCTATCCAGCCTAGGGGCACTCAGGGAGAGGATAAGGGAGAGACGTCTACTCAGAAGGAGAGGGCCTTGATCCTCTTCATGGGTTGCAGCTGTGACAACTGAATAAGAGGATAGATATGCGTACGGGCAAAAGCTGGAAACAAAGTGTGAAATTATCTCTATGGTTCCTTTCTGAGTTTGGCGTCCTTCCCAGTGTGTGTTCTGTTATCTGCGGACATCCTCCAGTTCTTATCTTGCCTGGTTTGTGTTGCTTTTTTTCCCTCCTTCTTGTAACTGTTTGTGTGGGAGTTTTTTATCTTCTGTCAAGGATATTTGGAGCTTGGAAGCAAAGTGAAGGAATAAAAGGGGCTTCACCGGGTTTTTGTGACTGTGTTTGTTTTGTATCACACCCTGGATCATCATAGGCTGGCTGTGCGGAGAACAACATTAGATCAGTACAGTATACTGGTAGTCCTTGACTTATGATGACACTTGAGCCCCAAATTTCCCTTGCTAAGGAAGACAGGTGTTAAGTGAGTTTTGCCACGTTTTATGATCTTTCTTTCCACACTGGTTAAACGAACTACTGCAATTGTTAAGCTAGTAACATGGTTGTTAATGAATCTGGTTTCCCCATTGACTTTGCTTGTCAGAAGGTCTGGAAAGGTGATCGCATAACCCTGGGATACTGCAATTGTGATGAATATGAGCCAGTTGCCAAGCTCTGAATTTGGAAACATGTGACTCTGGGGATGGTTGCAACAAGTCCTAAGTCATTTTTTTCAGTGTTGTTTTAACTTTGGCCAATGGATGGATGGATGGATAGATGGATGGATGGATGGATGGATGGATGGATGGATGGATGGATGGATGGAAGGAAGGAAGGAAGGAAGGAAGGAAGGAAGGAAAGGAAAGGAAAGGAAAGGAAAGGAAAGGAAAGGAAGGAAGGAAGGAAGGAAGGAAGGAAGGAAGGAAGGAAGGAAGGAAGGAA